CAGCTGGCGACGTCACCTCCAAGCTCCTAGGAATTAATACTTACGGGCATACCAAATCTATTATTGCTGGTTGGTATACCATCTCCATTTACTATAGATTGTCTCAGAGGATTTTTGCTAGATCTTGCTCGTAAACTATCCACCACAGCGAGTCTCCAACAGCGATGTTTTGACGAGGAGGCGAGCACATGTAGCCTTAACTTCATGTGGACCGGCAAAGGCTTTATGGCTTTTTTAAGTTCACAGATCTGTGGTGCGACAGACATGATAATAGTCTGTCTGTGCTAGCAAGTTTCAAGAGCGAAGTTAAAAAGCATGTTAAGCTTACTGCTGCTTGAAATTAACCACTGCTGTCAATACCATTCTATAGCAAAACCCTAATGCCATGAAAAGAGCTTCGAAGACTTCTGCCCCTCACCAACCAAACCATTGAATCATTATGTTGAAAAGTAAGTTTTTCGTCTTCCCCGGCTGTTTTCACTGGTTTCCGTCGAACTGGAAAGTGAACTTGGTGTAAAACTTCTAAAGGAATATAGAGCGCCCTTAACTGGAAGCGGCGCTATTTGATGATTCATGTACTTTTCATATTGTTTTGGGTCCCTCTACTTTTCATTTTGTTACCGTCCCCGTTATAACGCTGTTAGTGTTATGGCACTTTATCATCCAAACGTTACAATGAATACGTGCCACATCTCATTATGGCCCCACAACACAATGATTTTTTTTTATTAATTATTAGAGATCTAAAACATAAAACATAAAAAGATTGAAAATAAAAAAACATGAAAGAAAAGATCCTAAAATTCCAAATCTAAAATCCTATCCCGACACTCATCTCTTTCTCTCTTAAAACCTATAAATAATAAATAATAAATAAATATTTGAAAATGTGGTGACAGTGATTTTTTAAAGATACATTAAAATATTTTTTTTATTTTTTAATCCTGGAAAGTGAACTTGGTGTAAAACTTCTAAAGGAATATAGAGCGCCCTTAACTGGAAGCGGCGCTATTTGATGATTCATGTACTTTTCATATTGTTTTGGGTCCCTCTACTTTTCATTTTGTTACCGTCCCCGTTATAACGCGGTTAGTGTTATGGCACTTTATCATCCAAACATTACAATGAATACGTGCCACATGTCATTATGGCCCCGCAACACAATGATTTTGTTATTTTTTATTAATTATTAGAGATCTAAAACATAAAACTTGAAAAAATTAAAAAAACATCAAAGAAAAGATCCTAAAATTCCGAATCTAAAATCCTATCCCGAAACTCATCTCTTTCTCTCTTAAAACCTATAAATAATAAATAATAAATAAATATTTGAAAATGTGGTGACAGTGATTTTTTAAAGATATATTAAAATATTTTTTTATTTTTTAATCTGAAAAACTAAAAAATTATTAATTTAAAATAAAAAAATAAAAAATTTCAGAATTTTAAAAAAATATTTTTAAAATATAAAAATAAACAACCAAGCTAAAAATCACCTTCAAAAGCGAGTGGTCACCATCTTTACCATTACCATGTTTTTTTATAACCACAAACAAGCACAACCACTCTCTCATGTATCCTTTATAAATCTCGAGGTCTATATCCTCGAAGCATTTATGTCTTGAAAAACGATTTGATTGTTTTGGGCTACTAGAAACATTGGTGGCCCAATAAATCCAAAACATCCAAAGCCCAATAAGTCCAAAAAAAAATAAAGATTTGATCGATTACTATATTTGAATACACATTTCTCTAATCAAGGTTGGTCGGTTTACTACAACACACATGCGCGCGAAAAAGATATATTAAAATATTTTTTTATTTTTTAATCTGAAAAACTAAAAAATTATTAATTTAAAATAAAAAAATAAAAAATTTCAGTGTCCATGTTACTTTTATATGAACACACCCGCATGGGTTAAGGCTATATAAATAACTTTTAATTTTCAGGTAAGTTATTTTCTTGATATCTAACTTAAATTCAAATTCAAGTTTTCCCTGTTACTAAATACACACACATATAGTTTTAAAATACGGGTCAATCGATGTTGATAATTTTTTTAATATTTTAAATTGTTTTAATGTACTGATTTTAAAAATAATTTTTAAAAATAAAAAAAATTATTTTGATGTTTTGTAATAAAAAACACTTTAAAAAACAATTATAATTATATCATCCAAAGCCCAATAAGTCCAAAAAAAAAAATGATTTGATCAATTACTATATTTGAATACACTTTTCTCTAATCAAGGTTGGTCGGTTTGCTACAACACACATGCGCGCGATATTAGGAAAGCTTTTGCAAATCTCAATTGTCTCTTCGAGCTTTAATTCTCCATTAATTCAAGATTATACGTGACAAGGCACATTGTCCATGTTACTTTTATATGAACACACCCGCATGGGTTAAGGCTATATAAATAACTTTTAATTTTCAGGTAAGTTATTTTCTTGATATCTAACTTAAATTCAAATTCAAGTTTTCCCTGTTACTAAATACACACACATATAGTTTTAAAATACGGGTCAATCGATGTTGATAATTTTTTTAATATTTTAAATTGTTTTAATGTACTGATTTTAAAAATAATTTTTAAAAATAAAAAAATTATTTTGATATTTTATAATAAAAAAACACTTTAAAAAATAACTATAATTATACTGTCAAATAAATTCATATTCTCTCAAAGCTTTTTAAAAAATTATTTTTATAGGTTTCCAATCATTAAAATCTAATATTTTACCATTTCAAACTCGTAAAAACCTTGAGAAAACCATAATTTTTTAGAGTCTTTCAACATGTCCATGTTACTTTTATATGAACACACCCACATGAGTCAAGGCTATATAAATAACTTTTAATTTTAAAGTAAGTTATTTTTTTGATATCTTACTTAAATTCAAATTCAAGTATTCTTTCTTACTAAACATATACACGCATATACATATAGTTTTATAATACGGGTCAACCCATGTCTATAAAAAAATATTTTTTATTAAAAAATATTTTTTTAATATTTTAGATTATTTTAATGTACTGATCTAAAAAATAATTTTTAAAAATAAAAAAATTATTTTGATATTTTATAATAAAAAAACACTTTAAAAAATAACTATAATTATACTGTCAAATAAATTCATATTCTCTCAAAGCTTTTTAAAAAATTATTTTTATAGGTTTCCAATCATTAAAATCTAATATTTTACCATTTCAAACTCGTAAAAACCTTGAGAAAACCATAATTTTTTAGAGTCTTTCAACAATTCTAATTAAAAATATTTCTTCACCTTTCAGTCTAGTTTAAGCCTTTTCGAATCTTTTTACCTTTGTTGGCTTTGTTCAATGTCTAGTCACTAGTCACATTGGACCAATGAATTTGAGGTTTAAACAATGCCTTTGCTTTGACCACACTTTTTATCACTATGATGTCGCAGACTCCTCAGGAAAATAAAATGAAAAGTAAATATTAATTTCTGAGTTATATATATATGTATCAATCTTTGTTGTTCATATTATAGTTTTGAAATTCAATCTAATTTGATATAAAAAATTAATTTAAGAATAAAATTAAAATGATTTGGTTAACCCAACAAAATTCAGTCAAAATTCGGTTACATAAAAAAACACTTTAAAAAATAACTATAATTATACTGTCAAATAAATTCATATTCTCTCAAAGCTTTTTAAAAAATTATTTTTATAGGTTTCCAATCATTAAAATCTAATATTTTACCATTTCAAACTCGTAAAAACCTTGAGAAAACCATAATTTTTTAGAGTCTTTCAACAATTCTAATTAAAAATATTTCTTCACCTTTCAGTCTAGTTTAAGCCTTTTCGAATCTTTTTACCTTTGTTGGCTTTGTTCAATGTCTAGTCACTAGTCACATTGGACCAATGAATTTGAGGTTTAAACAATGCCTTTGCTTTGACCACACTTTTTATCACTATGATGTCGCAGACTCCTCAGGAAAATAAAATGAAAAGTAAATATTAATTTCTGAGTTATATATATATGTATCAATCTTTGTTGTTCATATTATAGTTTTGAAATTCAATCTAATTTGATATAAAAAATTAATTTAAGAATAAAATTAAAATGATTTGGTTAACCCAACAAAATTCAGTCAAAATTCGGTTACAATTTATTTTTTATTAAAATAATATTATTTTAATTTAAAAAAATTAATTTAAATAACCTTGTTAAAACTTAAAATTCAAACCTTAACTAGATCGGGTTTAAAAACTATAATCATGAAGTCAAATTTAATAAATGAAGTGAAGAAAATATGATGGCAATCGTAGTTTGATCGAGTAGTAAAGAAAATATAATGGTAATCGTGTTTGATTGAGCTGAGTTAGATGTTTAAACCTTGAGAAAACCATAATTTTTTAGAGTTTTTTTAACCATTCTAATTAAAAATATTTCTTCACCTTTCAGTCTAGTTTAGGCCTTTTCGAATGTTTGATTAAGCTGAGTTAGATGTTTCATTAAAGTACTTGAAGGGTACATGGACCAAGTAAACTGACAAAACAATTTATTTTTAATTAATCGAAATTCCATCCATGATGAAATTCATATATAGGAAAAAGATGTGATGGAAAAACATGAGATAGAGGAATTGAATTATTTTCTTATGATAAGAATTTGAAAAATCAAAACACTTAAAAGAAATCGTGGAATTATGAATGTAAAGGGGAGTCAAGAATCTTTGAAGGCGAAATTAAAGAACCAACCATCCATCACAAGTTTGCTCTTAAATATTCATTTTAAGATGGATAAAATAAACTTTAATTTAAGAGATATTTTGGTGGATCCATGACGGGAATTCTCGACATAAGGACTAACCGGAACAATTACGAAAGTTCAAGGTAGTATTTTAAAAACTATTTTAGTTAGTAGACTAATTTACGTTTGACCAAAAGTTCAGGGACTCGTTTGATTTAGCCATACATAAATAAAACTAGTTATAAAGTCCGAAAATTCTAATTCAGAAGTTTCAAAGGGACACGTCAACGATGCACGCCACCTTGACCGTTTGGGCATCACTTTCAGCTTTCAATTCAAGCGACCGGAAGAAGAAAAACCATTTTCTATTCGCTTTCGCTGGCTCCATCGATTTCTAGCCAGGGTTTAAAATTGATGGCGGCGTCCGCGGAGATCAGCGACGGTGATCACGATGCGGTGGAGCTGATCGTGTGCGACGCTTCAGCATCAGAACTTGCTCCCGATGAAATCAGTGGCGATGGTGCCGTCTTGGCCTCAGAGGAGATAACTCCTCTTTTGAAGCCTAAGATCAACATCTTCTCCGTGTCTCACTCTCGCAGAAAACCTAGAGTATTTTTACTCTATATTTCTTCTCGTTCTTTCAATTTGTAACCATTCTTTAATTTGTTGGTGATTTGTGGAAATTTGATTTCAGTGTTTTGATTTTTTGTTTAGAACGATTTAAATGGAGTTATAGTAGAATGCTGGAGATGTGTGTTGTTTATTTTCGATAGAAACTTTCAAACTTCGCTGTTTCAGATTCTAATTGTCGCCCATTTAGGCAAAAGAGCAGTTTTCATTTATCAACAAAATAAAAGAGTTTTTATTTTTCACTTTTCCCATATTTGAAGGAGGGCTAGTACAAGGAATTAGCTGAGTAACCCCGGCCTTTTGGCTCGTAAAAGAAAAAGGATAGAAAGAAAGAAATTTAAAGCTGATATTATCAACAGAGCAGCAGGAAATGAATTGGGGAATCAGTGGTGTTTTTTATGGCTGAAGATTGTTGGGACACACATCGGCCACTGTGATTAACAATTGAGTCCTTTTTTTGTGCAAACACTAGACAAAAAAATATGCGCGGAAAAAAGTGTTTCGGACATATTGGAGTAATTCATCATCTGTTTTCATAGGCTCTTTTCGTTAGTTTTTGAAGTATGAATGAAAGGGGAAAAAAACTAGAGAAGTGAACAATGGTTATTTTGTATTTCTTTGTAGGAGCAAGGGACAAAAATACCTGAAATAGAGACATTTCCGGTAACACAGTTTGTTTTGTGGATATGGGGTGGATCGAGATACTCTGGTCTATTGTGTGTGGCCATATCATCAACCATCTACTTTGTCATGGAAGTTCTTTCTGAATTTTTCTCTGGTGAGTAACCTATTTACCCTTTTATAATTGAACATGAGTTTGTGTTTTAAGAACATACTTTGAGCATTTTTAATGCGATGGAATTTTATATGGAGTCAAAAATTGGTGACTAAGTGGAGAATTAGTAGACAAGATGGAAGGAGAATAGTTTTTCAGTAATTGTACATCAGTTTCTCTATTGGACATGACGTGGAGCTTGTGTATGTATGGTTGAACCAAATATCTTGGGATTGTCTGGTACTGTTTTCTAAAACTTTTTGCTGTGAAAACATCGAAACTTATCTCTGACATAGAACAAGTTTTGGCAGCATGTTTTTCACAAGAATTTTAGTATGACATGAAAGAATGACCCTCCATTCTTAGAGCACGCTTCCAATTCCTTTGTACACAAAAAAAGATTTGAAGAAAATCTTTTTTTTCTCTTTTCCTTACATGGTTAGATCTGATTTTTATTCAGATTGCTTGTTTATATAAGTTTTTAAGGATTTATCCATAAAGAAAACATGTACCTTTTAAAGTGGAACCTACTTCATTAAATAACATGTAATAATTTTCTAGGGAAAGTAACTAGTGGATGGTGGTCTTGATTCCTTATAAATGGGAGAACTTCTAATGATAAATAATTTTTCTTAAGAATTCTTGATACAATGATCAACAGTGGGTGGTTCTACAAATGAAACTAAATGAGAGCTAGGTTTTAGATCTGAAATCCATTTATTTAGTTTTGCTGACCTAAAAGTTAGAACTTTAGATTTAAGTCATGATATTTTGTTTTTGGCTCATAGGTGAGCCTCACGGGATGTTCAAAGTTTCAAGAATATATGATGGCAGTAAATTAGTTATTTGTGACTTGTCTTGGGGTACACGCTTCTTTTTCTTTGCAACAATATGGTATTTAGTTTGATTTGTAATAACTGGATCCTGAACTGTCATCAACGAGGGTTGATGCTATAACAATGCGTTTGGGAAATGAGATTGTGGGATGAAGAACCTGCTGGAAGAGCTCTTAGTGTCTTATGAGTTTGGAAGGGAATTTTAAGCTATTCTATACTTTCTAGCATTCAGCAAGACCACAGATAGCATATGGTCACAGAACCATGATAAACTTTTCATTGAACATAGTTTACTTGTGGTTGGTATACAAGTTACATTCAATATGAATATATTTGAGTTTTCACATGTGATTTCTTGCGATTCCTGGGTCAAATTTTGGGGCAGGTTGGAGGAATGGAAGTTGTGTGGTTGTTAAAGCTTTTCAATTTGAGAATACCACCTATATGGAAATTTATTAGGCTAGCTGTCATTTTTATTCTAGTTTTAATGATTCTTTTCTTCATTATTATAAATTGTAATGGCAGCTCAGTCAATTCCGTTGTTTGAGACTGCATTTGCAAGATGTGCAATAACCCTGATATCGTCATATCTGTGGCTGAGAGGAAACGGACAGCCAATATTTGGACCAGCATATGCTAGGAAATATTTGTTTTCAAGAGCCTTAACTGGATGCCTCTCATTGTTGAGTTTTATTTATTGGTAAGTTTCACTTCATGTCCTTGCTCCTCTTTGTAATTTACTACATATTTTCGTTGCTCATTAGAAATGAATTCTTTGAGTCATGTTAATTTTGTATTTCTTGATGAGATATATTGTCAGAGTACTTTCTTCTTCCTAATCTTGCAATCTAATTGCTAAGATCAGATGACCATAGATGTTTCACTGCAAAATTACCTTCCTACATGAGGTGTTAATGACAGATTTGCTTAGTAAAAGAGAGAATTTTTTGAATGTTTTCTTGTTGCTAGAGAAGCAATGCATCGCCTGCTCTCCTGTGCTTTAAAACATTCTTCTTTAGCGCTTAAAGTCCTAAACTTGTGCATAAACTACTAGCTAGCCACCTATTTTTGTCCTTTCAGCATTCGAAGGTTGCCTTTGTCCCAGGCTATTGTATTAAGCTTCACAACTCCAATTATGGCTTCAATTGCGGCAAGAATAATTTTGCACGAGAAGTTGAAAACTGTCGATGCTGGAGGTATAGCAGTATTTCTTCATTTTTCTTATTATTTTCAATAGAAAAATTAAACTATGTGTGCAATGCAAGGTAAATTCTTAGCTTGTTGCTGCTCATTTTGCAGGTGTTGCGTGCAGTTTCTTTGGCGTGCTCTTCATTTTTAGACAGATACTTACTACACAAGGTAGAGAAGTGAGTTAACAAAAACCTCTTGTCCTGTGCTGAGAATGGACGTGTTAAATATTTAGGGACTGAATCAATTATTTTCACTATTTTATTTTGTCAGGAATCTCAATGATGTTAGTAAATTCCCTTGCCTTTTCATTTTAAGCTCTACTCTGCTCATGCATAGGTTGCTGCTGCATGCTCCATGCAGATGGTTTTGGTATTCCTAAAGGAGAGCAATCTGGAACTATGGAACGTGTATTGCATCATAAACTCTCACTTTACCACCTTTTCTCTGCCCCTCCTCTCTGTCTCTCCATCTATTACTTATTTTCGACCATTCCTAGTACTGAGGACATCATAATGCTTCTGATGCAGAAGGGTAATAATCTGTGAGGCCATTCCCAACTATGATTTCTGCCAATCCTGAATGTGCATTTTTATAAAGGAAAGACATACTAATGCCTTTATTGATGGCAACATTTTAGGCCATTTAATGAAGCTGGTGTATTAGATAACCTCCAATGTTCTTCCAATGCGAGCAGGTCCAATGCTTGCATAAGAAATGGTCACGTAACAGGGAACAAAACAATTCCTTCCCTCTTCTTTGATTCCATGTCCTTTAAAATTTGTTTGTATCTTTATGTGCAGTGGGTTTTAGACATAGTTGCATTCTGCAATGAGGCTGCTAGTTTATCCTTCAATTGCTTCTCTTTTGATAGAATTGTTTGTCACTGTTTATTGACTTATCTGTTATTTAACTTGTTCAATTTGTGACAGGAGCATTACTTAGAGTTGGGGAAACAAATTATATACCCATCATGGGCAGGAACCATGTATTAACAGTGCTGGTTGCTTTGTTCTCATCAATAACTGGTGGAATCAGCTACTGCCTTGTAAAGGCAGGTGCAAAGGCATCTGATCAACCTTTGTAAGATTACCGACTTGTTTTATGTATCTCAGATGATGCTCATGTTTTACCTTCTGCGACTCTAATCCAGCTGTTTCTCTTTTCTTACATAGTAATTTCATTTCTTTCCACACAATTAGTTATGTACTTTGCTCTTGTATTAAACCTTGCTATTTTATCTTCCTTGATTCCTATTTTAGGGCCACTGTTTTTTCGTTTGGCATACTGGCTACCCCTGCCACAGGAATATGTGCATTTGCCTTTGAGGTATGTTACATGACATTCTTAATATACACAAGTTTTTGCATAAGTGTTTTTAATCCTGAAATTCCTCCGGCTTATTTGTATCATTGTATTCCTTCACAATGAGCTTTGCAGCCTAAAATCCCAACGTTACCTTGGCTGCTTGTAACATTGCAGGTGTTTTGCCATTACCTTTTCACATTAAACATATGCTCTTTTGCTAATTGATGGTCGCTATTGAAGTTTATTATTATAGAAACATGCACTTGAAATTTCTTTTAAAGTAGTCCTAGCCCAATAGCCTAGATAGTTGCACGTAGGAATTTTGTAGTTAAGAAGATTTGTAATCATGAACCATTCTTGAGTAGAGGCACTGATGTGATAGCCCACCACGGCAAGCTATGTGCAAAGCCTGATGAATGCATTTACGCTGCCTACTCTCAACCCTGTGGAAAGGGAACAGGATAACAATATGCAGTATATCTTAAATGCAATTTAGGAAACGAATTATTCTCCAGTGCTACTTTGTATTGACTAGAGAGGTCACCAACCTGTAATTATCTAGCTAAATGCATGGCTTGTAATGACACACGTTACAGCATATTTTTCAAATCTTCACAGCCGCCTCTTGAGGTCATGCAAAAGGAAAAGAATAAAAGACATAATTTTGTCACACAAATTCTTAGCATCTAGTTGAGGGAGTGCTTAATCATTTACAAGTGTCTTAGAATTCCTCCATTTTCCCTAGCTAATCTTTTTCTTTCTAAATGGTTTTCCCAAGCAAATCTATTTATCAAATTCATGCTCGACCCGCCGACCCTTTATGTTGATTATTCTTACCCTGTGTTAGGTAAGCATTAACAAGTTTTGGCTATGAATCGAATTCAAAATAGAATAAATATTAATTATTTCAAAAGAATTGACATTTGTAATTTTTGAATTTCCATCAAAATGCATATTTGCATGAAGTAGCTGCATTTAATAACTGAACATGTCGCATCCATGAGCTTGCAAGCTCAATACAAGACCATTACAGCAAGTAATTGCGGCTTTATCTGTTCAGCTTTATGCTATACATGTTTGTATCTTTGGCTGTTTGTAAATAATGAGTTCTATTTTCATATTGCAGGAATTCGTGCTCCCAAATTTTTACACTTTTTTTCTTATGCTTATACTTGGTCTTCTGTCCTTTTCTGCAGAGGTACCAAGTTAAACTCTTAACTCATATTCATGCTTGCCTTTTAGCACTCAAACAATGGTCCTGTAATTTCAAGAGTAGAGCATAGCTTGTCAACTCAGATTTCTGATTGTTTTGGCACTGGGCTTCATATGTTCGTGCTCTGTTCTAGGTGTTTTTTGCCCGCGGGCTTCAGCTTGAGAAGACCAGCAAAGCTGCAAATGTCCTGTACATGGAGGTACTGTTTTGTTAAAAGTTAAATCCCCCGCAACCCCGCCTCCTCTCTCTCTCTCTCTATATCTATCTATCTATCACCATGGCAAACAGGATACAAATGCTATGCTGAATTCAGAGTTCCGAATCCAAGGCAGGAAACATTTTTGCTTGAAAAACTAATACTCAAACTAATCATCCGTCATGTTAGCTAGTAAACAAAATATAAAATGCCCCCTCCTAGTTGTTCAACATGTTTTGTATAGACAAGAACGTAGAATTTCACTCGGTTTTTATTTTGTTACATTTGAGCAACAGGTAAAAAATGATTGTCTGCTAACTACATGTTCTCCTGTCTTTCAGGTTGCCTTATCACAGTTATGGGGGATTGTTTCATGGAGGATAACTCCATCTTTTGGTGGATTGGTTGGATGTTTGCTTATCTTAATTTCAGTGTGTTGTACCATATATATTGGACCTGAAAAAGAGATGGAGTGAAAGATTGAACATTTCTGTCTTCTGGAAGGTATGCTCACCAGTTTTGAAAGCTTGGACTTCAATCTAGTTTTTTTATTTATTATTATTTTTATCATCTTTGCCTCCTTACTTTCTGGCTATGTTGTAAACATCTTTTTTTCCGTGCCCATTGATATATTTAACCTGCAATTATAATTATGCATCTGCTTATGATAAGGTAGGAGCTTACCCTAAAGCTATGTTTGTTAGGAGGGATGGATGAGGTAAAGTGAAAGAATGGATGGATTAGCATTCATTTAGTTATTTGAGAGATGAGAGAGTCAATCCATCCAATAGAGAGCATTGAAAATTACAGACCAGAAATTGGGAGGACTGGAAATTACAAGTGCAGAAGGATTGCAAGGATCTTTTCTATCCTTTCTGCCAAATAAGAGAGTATTTACATCATTTCCTGGCAAATAGGGGTGTAAGAGTGTTTTTTACCTTTTTGGGATGAGTTGGAATGCCCATTATCAAAGGGGATGCAGTCCCTCCTGAACCTAGATACATCGGGGGTGATGCTGCGAGTATGTAATGGTTTTTATTCTTTTCTTCCCTATTCTTTGCCGAGGGTGTGATCTAGGTCATGTTTGTTTTCCGGAAAATAGTTTCTGGGAAATTATTTTCCAAACTTTTCTGTATTTGTTTGCCATTAAAAAAGTTGGTCAATGAAAAATATTTTTCGATCAATGGAAAACAAAAAGTTGGTCAATGAAAAATATTTTTCGGTCAATGGAAAATACTTTTTAGTCAACGGAAAATACATTTCATTTAGAAAAAATTGGCTAGGTTTTCAGGAGAGGTTTTTTCTTTTTGGCTGTGTTTGTTTTCCGGAAAGTGATTTCTAAGAAATCACTTTCCAAACTTTCTTGTGTTTGTTTGCTGTTAGGAAAGTTGGTTAATGAAAAACACTTTCCAGTCAAAGGAAAATTTGGCTTGATTTTCAGAAAAGTGTTTTCCTGAAAAATTTGGGCGGAAAACACTTTCTGGAAATTGTGAAAAATTTAGAAATGTCATTATTTGTTGATTATATCAAATTTGATCCTCACACTTTTAATTGCTATATATATTTTGTTTTTAATATTTATTTTGTTTTGAATATTTATTTTTCAATTTTATTTTTTAAAATTTATTTTTATATTAACTTTGGTCCCCATTTTAATAATTGTTATTTGCTTTTCTCTTATTATTTTTTTATTAAAAATTTTTATTTATCAAATTTGATCCTCATTCTTTTGATTGTTACTTATTTTATTTGAAATACTTTATGAAATATTAATTATTATTATTTTAGTTTCTTTATTTTTTTTAGATTTGATTATTATTTATTTTATTTGAGATAATTTATAAAATTATATATTTTTTAATTTAATTCTCATTCAACTTTTTAATTTATAAGATTTGTTCCTTATTATTTTAATAAACTTGAAAAAAATAAAATATTAATATATTATTTTCCAGTTTATTTTTCATAATATAACTAAATACTTCAGTTTATTTTTTATAACATTATCATATATTAAAAAATAATTCAATTTTCAGAAATTTATTTTTTTTAGAATTTATTTTCTAAAAAAAATAATTTTTCTGTAAATAAATGGAGCTCTAATTAATCAAAGTGAACCGATAACTAGGGCTCGGATATAACGATGGTTTTGGCAAGGGAAAAGTGTTGCTGGTTTCCCCTTTCCAGAAAGAATAAGGAGGCAAGACTCCTATGTGAGCAGAAATTCGTAAAGCTCCTCGGACGTGATTGGCGAATGCAGCATATTTAAAGCGAAGGGTCTGATTGGCTCGTAAATTCTCGGCATGCAGGCATTCATAACACCCTTCAGAGGACTATATCCATACTGCAATTTGATGCGGTATTAATGAGGCCAAACAGCACGCATCTCCCATAAATTTTAAATTAATTGAGAAATAGTCTCTAAGCTCTTAATTTTGGGTTGGATCTCCCTGCAACAATTTTCCTTTTGAAACGAGGTGTTTCTGTTAGGTTTCCGTCAAATTTGAAGGATACGACTGAAAAAGTGACAGAACTCATGGGTGCTCCCTTTTTCCTTCCGTAACTTATTTCTTATAAAATGGTTCTCTTAATATTTAAAAGGGAATAAATGAGTTTTGGAGGGGGGGGAAAAACGAAAACCTAATTGATGAATCCAATTTCAAATAAAAAAAAAGATATAAAGAGCTTCGGCTAGAAACTTGTTCTCTCGTTTTACATTTTGAGTTCAAATTATAAATTTTTACGAAAAAAAAAAAGAGATTGGATAAAAAGCCCCACTGGTACCCTTTCGAGTGACGAGAGAAAGGGGCAGATTCTTATCTTGCGAGGTTTGAAAATGAAATAACACATTGTAAAAGAATAACGTTATTTTTTAATTAATAAATGAAGTTTTTGTTAAGAGAGGGAATCGGATTTTGGGGACGTGTCGCGATCGCGGGATACCCATAAGAATGTTGGTCCGAACCGAAAGCTAAAGAAGCAGCCGCTACCACCACCCTTCTTCGTGACCAATCTACCCCTGCTTCTTCCACTTAATCTTCATATTGCCACTTACCTTGCTCGGAGCATATTCTTCCCCCCTCTCACCCCAAAATTAAAAAAAAAAGAAAAAGAAAAAGAAATCAATGAGAACAGATTCCCCACCAGAGAAGGCTACAGGCTAGATGTTTAGTAATGGTAGCCAAGTAACGTTACAGGGTGTCATTTAATACGCGTCAACTACATCCCTGTTAACAATTAAGACCAGCTTTCATTTCTGCTGCCTGCCACCCTTCTTTCCCATTTCCCCCCAGGTCTTACCCTCTTTTCATCCTTCCGTTTCTTGTTTTGTACTTTCCCATTTGCTGTTTGTGTAGTCGGTCCATAAATTATCACAGGCTCCATTATTTTTTTAATTAATATAGATATCCAATGTAACTTGCATGCATTTCAATTTATTTTATTAGTTTTAAAATTCATAATTATATAAGTTTTTAGTAATTTTGAAAAGAATCAAACTCTTAATTATTGAAGAATAAATTTAAAATCAAACCCAGGATCTTATAGAAGTGATTATTGAAGAACTATATATGTATATATATATATATAATTAAAAGTAAATTTAAAAAATTTTAAAAACAAAAACACCAATTTTTACAAGTTTTTTTAAGGCCCGACGAGAGGGCCACCGATGACTTGTAATTTGAAGGGTTGCGAAAATCACATCTGACAAACTCAGTAGGCGAAAAGCAACAATTTTTACGAGTTTTTTTAAGGCCTGACGAGAGGCCCACCGATGCCTTGTAATTTGAAGGGTCGCGAAAATCACTTCTGACAAGCTCAGTAGGCGAGGGCCAGTGGTACCACCACCGTCGTCACAAAATCTTATGGTGGCATTACCGTACAGGAGAGGAGGAAATGATGGGTGGGATATCATTATCCTACTCACATAAGACGACACCGTTTCACCCAGCTGGTAAAAGTGTTTTTGACTGTTGTGCAAAGGAGGGGTCCCGGATGGCTATCTGGTAGTTAAAGGAGAAGATCAAGGGTGATTTGAAATTACAAAGACCCATTCAAAAACCAATACACAACTCACTCAAAGCCAGCTACGTAGGACTTCAGAAGAAAAAGGAAGTGAGGGTTGAGCTGGGTTGGGGTGCGAGGTGCCACAGGCACACTACTGTGCACACGTATTGAGGGCTCGCCTAGTGTTTTTGGGTTTATAACTTTTATTTTGTTGCTGCTGCTGCTTCACTTTAGCTAGCTTTTGTTCACTTTATATCTGTCCTTCAACTTTGTTCTAAGTTCCTTCCTCCTTCCTTCCTTCCTTCCACTTCTTCTTCTTGATTTAACTTTGTTCTAAGTTCCTTCTTCCTTCCTTCCACTTCTTCTTCTTGATCATCCATCTACTTTTCATCTCTTCTTTCTTTATCTTTTATCTCTATAGTCTTGAGTTCTGGTTTTGATAATGGCAGACATTATTATTCACCCTCCCATGGATCAACTCCAGGACCTTGAATACTGCATAGACTCTAACCCTCCTTGGGGTACGTGCCCTCCCCCCCTCTGTTTTTCGTGCTCTTAGCTTTTTTCTGTTTCAGGAGTTTGTTGGAGTAGCATGAAGTTATGGCCTAGCTACAAATACAAACGAGTTGAGATAACTCTTTGCCGCATTACGAACTTGAGTAAAACACTTGGGAGTGGAGAAAACGGATTTTTTTTTAATGATAACGATGATGAAGTGATGATGAAACTACATACATGAGACGACGTTTCAAAGCTTCCTTCTTTCTGTTTTTTTTTTTTTTGTATAGTTTCCGGTGATTCTCGTAGCTATCAAACAACCGCGCTTTTCTCTTTCAATGGGATTGTTATGGCTTTTCCTCGGCATTGATGATGTACAAAAAAAAAAAGCCAATATGGGAAGAACCGCATTTGGTTGCTTAAGTGAAGCTGTGAACAGGTTTCTTTGCAATTAGCCAGAAACTCCTTAGATTGAATAGTTAATTAGCAAGCAAAGCTACTATTTAATATTTTGGTCCCTTGGAACCAAGTGATTAATATTGGTAGCTGCTGCTGGTCTTTAATGGAAAGAAAAAACGCAGTAGTGGTTCTTTTTGGTTTTTGTTAGGAAAAGAACTTGGAAACCTGGAGTTGCATATCCATCTTGAAATAATGCTTTGTTCTGAATGGGATATTTTTGCAGCCATCTAAAACGTTGGTTGGCCGGAATTCAATCTCATTTTTCGATGTTGGATATGCTTCAGTTTCATTTGGGTTGCAATGGAACCAGGTCCCGCAGCAAAACCCAATGGCATACTTGCTGAAAATTGTGCAGTGTGTTTAAATGTTGACTGAAGCATGAAACATTGAAACTGATGTTGAATCTCTGTTTTTGAATGGAAACTCTTGATGCTCATGAGCTAAGCTGTCTTCTTTACTTTCTCATTTGCAGCTGAAACCATCATATTAGCATTTCAAAACTACATTGTAATGCTGGGCACAAGCGTAATGATCCCTTCTGTACTCGTTCCTGCAATGGGCGGCACTGATGTAAGCATGTTATCCATTACACGACCTTCAGCTTGATTTTCATCTTTTGTTATTCACTCTTGATTTAGGAACTTGGTATTTCAAAAATGGATGTTTGTCGTGATGGACCTACTCCCTCGATACTTTTGGTAATCTACATGAAGGAATATTAACCTAGAAGATTTGGTTGGTGGGAGTACTGGTCAATGTTGTAGATCTTGAGCTGTTGTCTTTATGTTTTGACTTTTTGAACTTTATCATTGTTCATGCAACCAGGGTGACAAAGCTCGGGTAATACAGACTCTGCTCTTTGTTGCTGGCATTAACACACTTCTTCAAGCACTTTTCGGTACGAGGTTACCGGCAGTAGTGGGAGGGTCGTATGCTTATGTGGTTCCTATTGCTTATATTATAAGAGACACCTCTTTGCAACGTATTACAGATGGTCATGAAGTGAGTTCCTCAATTTTCCCCTTGTTCTTTGTCTGCAAGCTGTTGGGATCCATGTCAAAAATAGCAGTTGATCGATCAACTTTTTATGCCGTTGGCATTTGGAAATGCGGAGAACTAATCTTAGGAAGTATTTACACTGATAAACCTGGAGAGCTAAATGCTGTTTTTTTACCTCGGGTCTTTAGCTAAATAAACTTTGGAATCGAGCCACCAAAAAAATGCTGACCTTTTTGTGAGGAAGATGTGTTAGTGCAAACCCCCCTTGTTACATGAAGTCACCTTGCCAAATCCCTCATGTCATATGTTTGAAATGTCATTTTTCATAAACGAAGGCGCAAAACAAATGGTTCTCACAAAATGAGCAAGGATACAAGCCTCATATTTAATCATCATAATCATGTTGCATCGAGGGCCCAAATGAATGTCACCTTGATAGTAGTTGAAGTCCTAGATCTTCCACAATTTCATTCGCTTTGCAGAAGTTATACTTATAACTCTTTTACTTGGTAGGGTAATTGAAAGAGATCTTCCCATGTGATTGGTTTGCAGAGATTTATTCAAACGATGCGAGCCATCCAAGGAGCTTTAATTGTAGCCTCTAGCATACAAATCATCCTGGGTTATAGCCAAGTTTGGGGTTTGTTTTCAAGGTACTTCGGTAGAATTTGAAAATGTGAGATGACTGAACTGCCAATTTACCATTTCTTTTGTTCACCATTGTTTTGTCTCAATTGCAGGTTTTTCAGTCCTCTTGGCATGGCACCTGTGGTTGGATTGGTTGGTTTAGGATTGTTTCAAAGAGGATTTCCTGCTGTATGTATAGTGATTAAATTTTATATATTATTTTAGTTGTCTGGTTTGGCCAAGAAGGTGTCTCTCTTTGATGTTTTTGTGTTTCTTGAGGCTAATTTAGTATTCTAATTTATCATGGATAGCAATTGTAAGCTGCCTTTTTGTAGTTCTCAAGATCCAGCTCATCATTTTCTCAATGACATAGAAGCTATATTTTTCTATTGCCATCTGGGTTATTATAGAGCCTATTGATGAGGGTAACATTCTGGAATTTTAGAGTATAGAATCTTCCTTGATCAATAGAAGTCCTGAAAGACTTTTCCTGATTTTTTGTGCAACATTTCCATTTCAGCTAGGAAGATCCGACATTATTCTTATTAAGGAAAGCATTATGCACCTTTGTTCCTCGTAGTTATGATATTAGATAGATACTTCATTCCTCTCATGCTTTTCTTCTTTGCCATTTTTTTCTTGGAAAAATTAATGGTTTTCATTTTCCCATGCTATTTTTCAGTTGGGTAATTGTGTGGAAATTGGGATCCCAATGCTGTTGTTAGTTATTGGATTGTCACAAGTAAGTTGTCCTTTAGAACTGGAATCATTTTCTTTCAATATGAATCATTCCCTCCCTTCATGTTGTTTGGATTCTGGGAATTGCAGTATCTGAAGCACGTAAGACTATCAAGAAACTTCCCAATATTTGAACGATTTCCAGTGTTGATTTGCATTGCATTTGTCTGGATATATGCTATCATTTTAACTGCCAGTGGAGCTTACCGGGAGAAGCGGTTAATAACTCAAAATAGTTGCCGTACAGACAGGGCAAATCTTATATCCACTGCCCCATGGTATTAAAGATTCAACTCCTCTAACTTACTGCATCTTTACTTGTTTTGAAATTTAATGCATTATGTTACTTCAGGTTCAAGTTCCCGTACCCTCTGCAGTGGGGCCCACCAACATTTTCAGCAGGTCACTCATTTGCCATGATGTCTGCAGTTCTTGTGTCTATGGTCGAGGTATATCTTTAGTTTTGGAAAGTGCCATGTTATTATCTTCTTTATGTTACCCTATATTGCATTCTCGAATAGTTTGATGTGGACTGCTGTTCGGTTCTTTATCATGTCACTTCACACCTTCAAATGCTCGGGTGCATTTTGAAATTTAAACCGAAGTAGAAAAACATTGAATTGTACGTCAAATGATATAGTTCCATTACTGACCTTGTCTCCTGACAAAATTCAAGCTCATTCTTAAATTTGATGCTGCAGTCAACAGGTGCATACAAGGCAGCATCTCGTTTGGCTATTGCTACTCCACCTCCTGCATATGTATTGAGTAGAGGAATTGGCTGGCAAGTGAGTTATTTGGCACAAATATTACTCTCTCTGCATCTTCTGCCATCTAAACTTCTCACTTGCTCAATCTAGCATCTTGGAAATGGTATCACCAACAATATTGACAACAATTTGAACAATCTTGCAATACATATTCAGCAAACTTGTTTTCCTGGCTGGAACTGTCATTTTGTTATTGGAGACTTGAACAATTTTTCTGTTGCTTTGGCAGGGCATTGGCATATTGCTTGACGGCCTCTTTGGAACAAGCACTGGCTCCACTGTTTCTGTGTAAGACATACTTGAATAAGCCATCTGGAACAGTACCTTGGATCCTTATGTTGGTTTTAGCATGTCTTGGAAATTGACAGGAAACTTGGTTATGATTTTCAGAGAAAATGTGGGACTCCTTGGACTAACTCGAGTTGGAAGTCGCAGAGTTGTTCAAATATCTGCTGGCTTCATGATATTCTTCTCGATCTTAGGTTTGTATTGCCTTTTGAGGCATGAATATATTTTGGGCATGGCTTGTGGAAAAGAGTGCTGTGCCTTTCTGGTTGAATCCATGAGGAGTTTTAATGAGAGACTAAGATGTCAAGCCGACTCAATCTTGAAATCATTTTCCAAATCGTCTTTTAGGAAATAAGTCCGTAACTTTAAGTTTCTTTTTTTGTCAACTCCTATGAAGCCTCCTCCTGATCATAATCTGAGAGCAGTATTCAGCTCGAGACAGTTTTTGTGTTGCAAGTTGAAATTATACTGGTTTATGATTTGATGGTTTCTTGATTAAAATTAAAGGTTGTCACTATAAATGGTTCCTTCAATTGTTTAATTTCCTTTCAGGGAAATTCGGAGCTGTCTTTGCATCCATACCCTTCCCAATATTTGCAGCGTTGTACTGCGTTCTCTTTGGCCTTGTTGGTATGCCATTGTCTCACTTGTATGTTTATCTGATAGTATTTTGTCTTGTTAGTGGACTTGTTTTATTCTTATCGCAAATTTCTTGTTTTCAGCTTCAGTGGGACTGTCATTTCTTCAGTTCACAAACATGAATTCCATGAGAAACCTCATTATTACTGGACTGTCACTCTTCCTTGGGATTTCTATCCCCCAGTTCTTCAATGAATATTGGAATCCCACACACAACGGCCTCGTCCATACTCATGCTGGATGGGTGAGCATGCTTTATGCAAAACTTGAGTATCCTTGAGAAAATATATTCACGGATCATTTACAGATTGACATATAAAATCTGGGTACACGAGCATTTCCGTCATGATATCCGAATTGTTTCCTGCCTTTTATTATGCATTGTAAATTTTTAGCCACTGTCAAATGTTTAACGATAGATTTGGCCTTGTTGCAGTTTAATGCTTTTTTGAATGCCATATTCTCATCTCCAGCGACAGTGGGGTTGATTGTGGCGGTGCTTCTCGACAACACATTAGAGGTGGAGAGATCAAAGAAAGACAGAGGAATGCCATGGTGGGCAAAGTTCAGAACATTCAGGGGAGATAACAGAAATGAGGAGTTCTACACTCTGCCATTCAATCTCAACAGGTTCTTTCCACCTACTTAAGGAGTCATCAGAGCGACCCGAGCCAGTGATCCTCTCGTCCAATTCAATTAACATTATCAAGCGCCATTTTCTCTTAGAGATGTACATCCGAGATCATTTGACAAGTGTCTTAGCAGGATACATTCTTTTGTGGACCGCAAGGTCCAGGTTGTAGGCATTTGATATCTTGAGAAAGAATAAGAACGGAAATTAGTTCTCAGCCTCGCTCAATCTTTTAGATGTTGCAGGAAAATAAATTGCAACTCTAATGTGAGCCAAATTTGTTTCAGGTCCCGTTGGGAAGTTTCCTTTCAAGGCCTGGGCAGCGCCATTTTCGTCCAAGTCCTTCATGACAAGATAATCAAATTTCATGTAGCATTATCATCCCCCGTTTATTTTCTGCTTCTGCTTTAAAGATTTGCAGTGTATTTTTATCATACCATCAATTGCTAGTGTTCTTTAAAGGCCCTGAAGTCCCATGATTTTCAGTTGTTTTCTGATTCTGCCTACCATCTCACCAGTCGAGCTTGGTATCGAGTAGACGACCAAGTTATGGGTTTTTTTGGTCCAGCATATCAATTCCATAATCATAAGACGGTGCCCTTCGTAGATGTTTGATTCCGGTGACAAAATTACTTATATGATTTCAAATTTTCAGCAGGGAGGAATTTAAGTATTATGAAGCCTCAGACAGCCAGTATAGATTGACATCAATGTGAAATTCAGCCGGTAATTCCAACATAAATAAACAATCATCATCGGCTCCATAACATATTTTTCCCTGCGCCCAATAAATCAATTATCTTTTAAAATTAATGGCAAAAAATATATAAATTATGAGGAGTAAAATATAGATATAAGAAAAAAAAGTGATAATAAGTTGGAAAAATGTAATCGCCGAAAACGGCTCCATGGATCAACAGAATAGGATCCACAGATTCCTATCAGCAAGCGAAACATGGAATTTGTTTCGGTCCAATCATAGCATTGCCGGTCAAAGCCATTTTGGCTACCAGCAACGTGGCATCGGACCTTGATCACTCCGAAATCAATATAGTTTATTTTCAAAAAAAAAACCCTCAGAGACCCGTTCCAAATCACACACACAACGACGCACGGTAGTCCACGAGATCCCGACCAACGAGCAGACCCAGAGAAGACGAATACCGGAAAGGAAACGTTTCTGTTGGGTTGCGATTGGTGGAAGGACAACGTGGGTACGTGAGCGATCCGCTGCTGATAATGTGTCATACGGCACTTCCTATCTATGGGATTGCTTCCTCATAGGGGTTTATATTTGGTGAAAACAAAAGGAGCCTAAAAACCATGATTAAATCTAATGAAATTTTAAAGAACTCAAAGAGGAACCAGCTAATGTAAGGCCCTAGAATTCTACTCTGGAGATTGCTGCGCGGAGATTGAGTCTGAGTTGAGGAGAGAGGGGCATCGAGGGGTTTATATAGGAAGGTGGAGAGTAACCCTAGCTGCTGCTGCTGAATTTTTCGCAGGGAAGAGTATTCGGCGAATGGATTAGGGCCTACTTTGTGTCCAGGCCTGCTCGATGAGAATGGATCCATATTTTTTGCTTTTCGTAACTGTTAGCTATCTATATATCTATCATTTTAGGCTTATACAAGATCCGGCAGGTGGTGCCGTTCAGCCATCTTCCGAAACCACTACAGTTAAAACCCACGTATCAGTCAATCATCTAAAGGTTACATGGATTCTATTTTATCATTTAGATAATAGAGGAAAAGGCCAGATCAAATCGATTAAAACGATGATGGAAAATATCAAATGCCTAATTGAAACTCGATCAGTCTGCTCAATATAACTAATTGATTATCATATAGGTTAATAAATGAAAAAAAAATATTAATTATAAACAATAACAACAATAATAATAAAATATTATAATACATCATGCCATTTAACATGTTAATATATTTTTATAAAAAATATTATAATACATCATGTCATTTAACATGTTAATATATTTTTATAAAAAAATTAAAATTAAAATTAAAACACAAAACAAAAAACTATAAATTGTATATTTTTTTTAATTTCCAACTTCACACGGTAATAATCTCTTGCTTTGTACTATGTTAGCATAAATGCAACCTGATCAACCTATTTAGTTTAATATAAAAACATTACAGTTCACTCTTGTTTTAACCTTTACCTAACCTTACTAGACTTAACTATGAAACAATAAACTATCAAAAAAAAAATTGAAACTAAAAGGCGATGTTATATTGGATCAATCTCAATCAATTTTAATTAACGTTTCAAATTTATGGTCTGAGTCATGATAAGACTACGATGAGTTAATCAAATATGGTAATTAGTTTCATCTGTAATAATCTCTTGCTTTGTCCACATTTTAACTTTATCTAAATTGGACTTTGCTTGATATGGCTCGTTTGACTATGTTAGCATAAATGCAACCTTATCAACTTATTTAGTTTAATATAAAAACATTACAGTTCACTCTTGTTTTAACCTTTACCTAACCTTACTAGACTTAACTATGAAACAATAAACTATCAAAAAAAAAATTGAAACTAAAAGGCGATGTTATATTGGATCAATCTCAATCAATTTTAATTAACGTTTCAAATTTATGGTCTGAGTCATGATAAGACTACGATGAGTTAATCAAATATGGTAATTAGTTTCATCCATTTCTCTTCTTTTATTTTTTTCCTGGTTAGGCATTAGTTGGATTTAGGATGGATGGCATTTCAAACTAATTTAAAGAGTCATTCAATAATAAGAAACCAAAATAAAATAAAATAAAAAGTTATCAAAGAATCATGGACCATATAAAAAAAAGTTGCTCGGGGATCAAACAAAGAAAAAAAATACACTAGTCAACACGTGTGGAAGCCTTTCTACATTCAAACGGTGTGTGAGGCTTTATTTGAGCTCCATTCACGGCTTTATTGGGTGGCACTGGAATCGTCACAATTGAATCTCTCTTTTAAGATGACGCTTATCGCCAATGAGTCGCAGTTGTGGATTGGTTAACTTTTTTTTTTCTCCTTTCTTTCCTTTTCTCTCTCCTCTCGTTATGAAAGTTGGCTAGGCTTGTTTGACTGAGCTAGCCCAAATATGACTCAATCACCCCTTTCAAAACCAATCAAGGTAGAAAAACTACAATTCGTTGCTTTTTTTAACCCTCGCCTAACTTCACTATACTCAATCGCTAAACAATGAACCATTAAAGCACAAAATCATGAGGGAAATTAAGGGAATAAAACTAAAAGGCAATGTAGTGTTAGATCGATTTTGGTCATGAAATGACCACGATAAACCAACTTGGTATGGAAATCCATCACATCCATCTCTCTTTTATTTTTTTTCTCCTTAATTAGACCTTGTACGGGCTTATGTGAGATAAAATTTAGGACTAATTTGAAAAGTTATCTAAAAATGAGGGGCCAAAATAAAAAAACATTATGGAAGAATCAGGGACCAAAATCAAAAATAAATTTATTGATTATGGACCAAACCATAAACAAAAAATTGGCACATGTGCTATATGCTTTAGCACACATGGAAGCCACGTCGCATTCAAGCAATGCATTAGGCTTTGTTCGAGCTCTATTCATGGTTATAATAGATGACGCTATAATCTTCACGGTTGTCTTTTTTGTAGGACAACATATGTCGATGGTGAGTTGTCGTTGTAGTCCTTTACTCCCATCTCTCTCTCTCTCTCTATATATATATATATATATATGTATGTATGTATGCATGTATGCATGCATGCATGCAACATATCTAGAAAAAAAAAACCTTGTGTTCCCATCTATAGTAACATCTAGAAAGAAAAAAAACCTTGTGTTCCCATCTATAGTAATATGTGAGAGGGTATATAATGAATCTTTCATGCCAACCAGTTTTTTCTATAATTATTTTGATTTTTACATTCTTAACAGGCCTACAAGGAGTTGGTTCAAATAGTAAAAAAACTATTCAATATATAATTTTAAATTTAAGTTGTGTTACTGATTTGTTAGTTATGTGATATATTTAAGTGAGTTATTTTAAATTTTAGCTTTAACATAAATGCAATGGATTTTGATGAAGCCATGAAAAATTTTCACACAAAAATTGGCTTACGATCTTAGGCCAAGATGTATAGGCTCGGTGTCTAAGCTTAATGGTTCTTGAAAAAATAAGTCCCTCGCCGAACAAAGAACTTTCAAATACTTAAATTAATAATTGTATTTAAGAAATAATATATGAGAAAATTAAAAAAAAATATAAGCTTAGAGAAATGTTGAGTTTGAAAACAATTATAAACCTTCTTATTTACTTGATAACCAAAAAAGAAAGGCCATGGAAATATTTTCAAAGATAATTTTATTTAATTATATAACAACTAAAATAAATATTAAAAAGAGTTTGAAGCATTTAGATTCAAGAGAAAAAAAAATATTTCTTAAGTCAAAATCTTCATTTTCTATTTATGCATTTATTCCTTGTCTAGACAAAACATGTGGTTTTTATTAACAACATGATTTTTCAATAAAAATATAATATAAGGTAATTAAAATAAATACTCACAAGATTCTAATAATTTAAATTCATGAAAAAAAATATTTCTATAGGCAAAATCTCATTTTCCTTATTCATCTAGTTGTTTTATTTTGACAAAAACATGTATTTTTTTATTGAAAGCTTTTTTTAATAAAAACTTATTATGATTTGAAAATCAAGTTTCAACAATAAAATAAAAAAAATAATGTGTTGATATTTTCTATACCCTTGTATGAAAGAATAAAAGAATAATTAATTCATGAAAACTATATAAAAAATTACACTAAAAAAATATATATTTTATTTTCATTGAATATTTAAGTGCAACGTTTTTAAGAAAAATTTGCATATTAAATCTATGTATAATTACTCAAAAGTTAATTTGAAATATTACGATAAAAAACTACAATCTCTAATCTTGTTTAGAAAAAATGACATAGTTGGATAATTGTTTTAAATATGATTCTAATTATTCATTTAAAATAATTTTATTTTAAAATTAAAAAAATAACAACTACATGAATGAAACTTGCCAAGTTTCAAAGGATAATCCAAACGTGTTTGGACTTATAAAATCTGTTTATGTTTTTTAACAAAAAAAAAGACAAGCACTACTAGGCCCAGAAGGCCTTGCAGATGTGATTTCAAAAAAATAAAATTATCTCAAATACCTTATGGTTTATTTCTTTTTATACTTTGCCTTTGTTCTTAAATACATTAAAAAAAATATTTTGGGTTAATATAATTTTTAAATTTAGATAAAAACAAACTTATCCTTATGTATAAAGTTCAAAAACAAGTAACTTGTAGCAATAAAGGTTTTCAACTTTAAAGATAAAGATATTGTGATTAGGGTTTTCCAAATAACATTTAATTTGTTTAGAAATTAGTTTTTACATTTACAAAACCTAAATGAATTAAAAGAATATAACAAAACAACAAAACACACAAAACATGATAAAAATTCCAATAATTGCACCGGTCTAATCAATTTAGAGAAACGACTTGTCAATTCTAAAGAATATGACTATTTTGGTAAAATAATCTAGTCAATTTGTGTAAATTTTAAATTGTCTCGGTAACATTAAAATGATCTAATTCACTTCAACAAAAGTCTATCCAATTCTTCCAAGGGGTAAAAATATTTTGAAAATAGTTTTCAACGACTAGTTTGATTTTTAACCTTTTAAATACCCCTCACTTTGCAAAATATAAAAGATCATCCATGACAATTTTAATCATATTTTCACTCTTAAACTGCTTTTAACAACCCTAGTTTTATTTTTTATTACCCTAAAAAACAAGGCTGGAATATCACTATCAAAATTTGTCCAAGTGCTTCATTTGTATTCCATTCAACTATATTGATAAAGTAAAAAGGTTATTAATTTCATTTTGGTAAGTGTTTTGTTTTTTTTTAATTGGAATAAAATGTTTCAGTTTTGGAGTATTTCGGTGTGCCATTATATATATATATCAAGCAAATATAATTTAAATTCAAGATAAATTAATTA